GAACTGCGGGTATAGGAATGGGCGAAAACCCAGAACAGAACCGGAAAATACTCGTTGGGCAGATGTCCGTGCAAGCGACCGCGGCGCGCCTCTCGTCGTCGGTGTCGGAGGAGGGAACGGCGTTGATTGAAGAGGCCGCGTGTAAGGTGTATGCGTGACAAGCACGAAGGTGATAGTCCGCGCAGGAAATGAGACAACCCAAACCTGATCAGCAAGGGCGCGACAAGCTGCTGTAAGTACGGTGAAAAACTGTGTAGAGGGAAGTAGACGAAGGTACTAGCGGAAAAAATCACTTCTCGAAGCTTCCGAGTGCCATCCGCGACACATTAGCAGATCACAGGAAAATCCGACATTGCGGCAGTTAGGCGTTAAAGACCGGCGGCATAGTATACGAAAAGTAAGTGAGGGAAACCAGAACGTGAAAAGGATTGGGCAGATACGCGAGACGAGCTCTGGGGTCACTGACCAGAGATGCAAAGACAGTTACCATCGGTAGAGAGCAGGACGGGGCCGCTCGGCGCCCTCCTTTACAAGAGGTTTGTGGTACTCTCGTCCGTGGTGGCTGTGTATTTGAACCCAACACTGTTCGCAGTAATACTGCAAACAAGTAACGTTTGCACAGAAGAAGGGTGCGAATTTTCCACCACAACGAGTGCCTTGGCATTCGTCACACATTTGATTATCCAAAACGTAGGGTTTGACTTCCACCTGGAGAGAGATCAGAAAAAATGCAGGTCAGCCGCGTGGAAGCAGCGATTACTGAAAACTTGTTTGTATAAACGCATACAAGGGGAATTTACCATGTAAATACAATGCACAACTGACTTACTCGCTTATCAATATCATTATGCTGAAGTTGAACGAATCTTGCGCTGATAGCTGCAATGTAACTTTGCTGATTTGAGAAAGCAACGCGGCCAGCACCTTTGGGATACTTGAGCTCTGGATCAATGTCGATTCCAGCGTAACAGACGCCACCATAGAGCCGATCCATGATGAGAGCCAGTTCAACTGCAAAAGGTGCGATAACCAGGTTTAAAATATAGTAGTCAAGGAAATTTAACTAGTACTTACAATGGATAGCATGCTCCCCGGCTGTGTGAGCTTCAAATTTCTAACTGCTGTTAGAAGTACCCTAAAACTTAGCCCAAGCCTTTTAGCCTATTGCAGTCTCAGCAACCCTGTTGTCCCTTATTACCGCTACTTATAGCCCACCTAATTAGAAAGATGGTCTGAAAAATGGTAGCGCCAGAGCTGGCACAAGTTCTACTACACTTATTACTGACATGTGGAGATATGAGTCCAGAGTTGACTTTAATCACTACTCTACAAACGCTATATTATTGGTCAAATGCAAATCACTATTACATTTCGAACTTGAGCCACCCATTTTTTTTGCTCTCCATTCACGTGGGAATTTA